ATTTTATATGGAGTAATTTTATATGGAGTAACGAAACTCCCTGAATAGCCAAAGCAATCCTAAGAAAAAGATACGGAGGCTTCTCTTTCCCCGTCTTTTTATTGTTGTAAAACTACAATAATCAAGATGGTGTGAACTAAAAACACACAGAATGGTGGAATAAGATCTTCAGGTAGAGATAGCTAATCTTCAACAATGGAGTAAATAGTATGAAGTAGAACAAGGAAAGCCTCTTCAACAAGTGGTGTTGAGAAAACTGATTGGCCACTGTGTTAAATAAATGAACTCAGACCCACTTTTCACCCCAAGGAAAAAATTCAAAATGGATTAAAAGCAGTTTTAACTGCTAATTCTCATAATATCCACTCTTCCCCTTTAAAAGCAAGATACTATTAGAAATAAGTATATGATATTAGAGTTGGGTATGTTTTAAGGTTTTGGAGGTCAAATCTGTTGTTTTGATTTGGATTTTAAAATTCTAAATTGAAGAATATAAAGTTTCTATGGATTATGCCTAGTAGGTTGGTGTCTAAGCAACCTTAGGAAAAAAACAGGATGAGGGGTGGAGAGTGGGTGGATGGAGAAACTTTATTTTAAAATGGTACCCAGTCTGTGGCTATACCAACCTGAACACGCCCCATCTCGTCTCTGAAGCGAAGGAGGTTCAGGACTGGTTAGTACCTGGATGCGAAGAAGTGGTACTCGGGGCCAGAGCGATTGTTTAGGGGTGAAGGTGTACACAGTTGCTCGCTGCTTACCCCAGTTTGATCCCAGTATCACCTGGGCCCATGAATATGGCTGGGTGCACAAGACTCATGTCCCCATCCAAAAAAGAGAAAGGAACTGTACCTGAATTTTGTTTTTAATAGGCTAAAATTATTTTCTTCTAGTTTGCAGTGTTGATGTGGGTGTTTACTTATGTTGGTGCCTTGTTCAATGGTCTCACGCTACTGATTTTGGGTAAGTATTGCAAAATGACTGGAATAAAAATTTTCACAATAAAATATTATAATTAGGTACTTAGAAACATTGTAGTAGAGAATTTTTTCATAGTGTTGGAAAATACACATTTGAGGCTTAAATTAATTGCTGATAACTGGCGATCTGTTGAAATTCTACTTCAGTTCCAGAAATAATATCCAATAGTGATAAATCATAAAGTGTGGCTTTAATATGGTGGTACAGTCATAAATCTAGTAAGGATTCCTCTGTTTATAAAATCACAGTATGTGATGTAGTCTGAAACTAAGAATGGTTCTTCCAATCTCCCTGGGTTAATTCCCATTACTCTAGAGTAGCATTCACCAGCAACTGCATCCAAAAGATCCTTTATGTATTGTTAATTAATACGCTGCTTAGTAGTGCTGCCAGTTTGAGGGTTTTTGTTTTTGGGCCATAGCCTGTGGTGCTCAGGGGTTACTCCTGGAAGGCTAGGGGTCATAGGGGATGCCAAAGACTAAACCCAGGGTGGCCACATAGAAGGCAAGCACCCTACTAGCTGTGCTATTGCTTTGTCCCTAGTTTGAGGGAGTTTAGAGTTCTTCAAATCATACCATTCTTTTTAAAAGGTTGTATATTTTTCCTTTTCAGCTCTGATTTCACTTTTCAGCGTTCCTGTTATTTATGAACGGCATCAGGTAAATTCTAAACAAGATTTCAAAATAAGGAGCTCAATATTAATGGCTCTTAAAAATCATCAGTGCCAATTTATAGAGCCTTGTCAGAAATTGATTTTTTTTCTTTCTTCTTTCTGGGTCACACCTGGCAATACACAGGGTTACTCTTGGTGATGCACTCAGGAATTAATCCTGGCAGTGCTTAGGGGACCATATGGGATGCTGGGAATCGGACCTGGGTCGGCCGTGTATAAGGCAAACACCCTACCTGCTGTGCTATTGTTCTAGCCCCAGAAATTGATTTCTTAAAGCAATTAATTTGTTGGAACACAGTAATGGTTAGTAGGATTCTTTAGAAATAGTGATTTTCTTATAATTCCTATGTACCTATCTTTCAGACACAGATCGATCATTATATAGGACTTGCAAATAAGAATATTAAAGATGCTATGGCTAAGTAAGTATTTAAAATCTATGACCTTTGCTTTTACTGTGGTCAGGGTGTGCTGGATTTTGATAACAGTATAATATGCATATATTTCTGTATTGAGGGTTTAATGAGTATAACTTAAATCTAGAGTGTGACATTATATTTGCCAAAATACTTTTCTCTAACATTTGGACCATTAAGCTCTAGGCTCACTATAAATATTTAAAGATTTTTTTAAATTTGTGAGACCAATTTGTAACAAAAGTATAGGCTGCAGTTTGACAGTCATCAGTATTTCATTTTGTGTTTGCTGGGCAGTTACTGTCCCTGACTTAAAACAATTTGATTAAGATTTTCAACTGTTGCAGTCTTAAAAGTGGTATACATTTAGTATAAACAATGTTCAGACTTTGCTGTTTTCTTGGCTAGTGATTGTGATGACCTTGTGATTCTAGGCAGCAATTGAGAGCTACAGCTCCCTGTAAGCCATATGCTACTCTGAAAGACCTTACTTTCACCTTCATTATTCAGTAAAGTACATGAGATGTTTAAGACTCTATTATAGCCCAAGCATTGAATTAATTAGCCTGTAGTTGGGTCGTAAGTGTTTGAGTAAGTGTAATGTGGGGGTAGATGTATTAAATCCATGTCTGACCTTTGATATTTTGAATTTACAATCAGTTGGTTGGGCTGTATAAATAACACTAGAGTTGAAAAAGAGCTGTAGTTCTTAACGAATGGTATTTTAGTCAGCAGAAAAGAAAATTCTTTATTTAAAAATATTTACATTGACAGTTTTTCTCTTCATTTGTAGAATCCAAGCAAAAATCCCTGGATTGAAGCGCAAAGCTGAATGAAAAACCTGAAATAATGAACAATAGTTTATCTTTAAAGGGGATGTTTGTTTGATTACATGGGGGAGGGTCAGGGAAGAATGGAACCTTGACATTGCAATGCAATTTCACAGATCTTTATTTTTTGCAATGCAGTGTCTGAGGAAAAATGACCTGCCTTGACTACCATGTGTTCATCATTTTAAGTATTGTAAGCTGCTATGTATGGATTTTAAACCGTAATCTTTTATTTTTCCCATACGAGGCACTGGTAAATTTAAAAAAAAAAGATCTGCGAAAGCTGTATGATACAATTCGTTGCAGGTAGTCTTGGTGTGTTTGAGGAATTGCAGAGAAAAGTGGAGCTGAAAAAAATAACCCTTTTCACAGTTTGTGCACTGTGTCTGGTCTGTGTAGAATGATGAAGATTTTCTGAGATGAAATGTTTAGACGAGATCATACCACTAAGGCATAAATGAAAAGTTCGCCTTTCTGGTATGTTCTAGGTGTATTGTGAATTTTACTGTTATATTAATTGCCAATATAAGTATAGATTATTATATATATCTATATATAGTGTTTCACAAAGCTTAGACCTTTACCTTTCAGCTGCCCCCACAGTGCTTGAAGTGCTTGGTATTTCAGAGAGTCCTTGGTTATCTATGTGTGTAGTTTCAAAGCTCTTAAGCTAGAAAAAGAAAACATATTTCTAGGAGCACTACCATCTATTTTTATCATGAAATGATGCCATGCTCATAGAATTCCTCAACATAAACTTCATCAAACTTATTGTAGTTAATTTCGTCACAAACTCAACCTATGGACTGACTCTAATGCTTCCAAAAACATTTGCGAATATCAGACGTTGTTATGCAAGAGATTATAAAATGAAGATTTATACAATTGTGGTTTAAGTTGTACTGAACTAAATCTGTGGAATGCATTGTGAACTGTAAAAGCGAAGTTATCAATAAAGCTTATAGACAAATATGTTTGGTGTTTTGGTTTCACGAAACTGCAGCAGATTAAAAGTATATGTAAGTGTGGACACTGTTAAAACAGTTCTCAGCTCATAGTATAGCCGTGTTTACTTTGAAAACAAAAGTACTGCAGGACAGTTACATAGTCAAATTTATTAGACACCAAAATGTTTTTAAATTATGCATTTTTATATTTGATCATTGAAAATAAACTCATGCACCAATATTTTAACATAAAATTATACCATATAAATGTACAAATAAGATTTAAGAAGTTTTCTTGACACAGACACTATTGCTCTTTAAATATAATTGTACATAACATTGTTCTTCCACATGGTTATTTCAATACAAGATCTGATTGGTATGAAAGTTCAGTGGGACAATAACGGCAGACATGGTTCTTACTCAGCATCACCAGTCACATAGTTACAGAAGACAGAATTTGGACTGAAGTAGGGAATTAACTGTGGGGGCCCAACACCTACCAGTGGATTAATATAAGGCATTATAAATTGTTATATAAAAATAGCTTAATGAGTGATCTAATCCATTAAGAATGCTGAAGCACTTCTGGGTAAATATTAATCTAGCTAATTGAAAATGCTTCATTTCATCTTTTCTCTAAACTGAGAATGGCAACTAGCTAGTAGCTCAAGATCCAGAATGTTAAATCACAGACCACAAGGACTAACTGGCATGTGCTCAGAGTCACTGTCCCTCACCAGGGCACTCAGTGCCCACTGTCAGCTCCTCATGATCAGCTGTCGGCTGAGTCTAAGTATGACTGAGGTGGTCTAGGGAGATGGTCTAAATAACATTGTCCCAGTCACATTCTGTTGTCAGCCAACGTGGAAAAGCTCTAAATCAGAAAATTTTGTTTTATAATCTGGATTCATCAAATAAGTTCACATTTATTCAGTCATGACCTATTTATACAAATCAGTAGATTTGAGTGCAGTTTGTAGGCCACCTTATTCATTATCATTTTAAGATTAATGTGACTTACTCTGCATCTTCATTCTGTAGTAAGAGGGATTTTTTTTTTGTCCTTTTGTTGTTTGTTTTCTATTTTGGATTTTTGCAGGTTTGGCACTAAACATACTGAGCTGTTCTACCCTTCCCCCCCACCCCCAATTAAGTTCATTGCTCACCGTATTTAGCCAACATTTCACAAGCAGTTAACTTTTTCATTTAGGAAGCCTTGACACAAACACATGATGTGGGCAACAGACCAGGAAATCTAAGAGTCCATGTAGCCCTCCTCAGTTTTAAGTTTTAGCACCACAGGTAGAAAGGAGATCTTTTGTGGGAAGTGAGAGCAGCCCACAGAGCTGGAAACTTTCAAAGGCACTTAATGGATATAAAACTCTGCAAATAAAGTGTTAAAAAATTAAGTTTCTCAACTTTTTTTTTATACATGGCTCATTTGGTTTTTGAAAGCTAAACATGAAGAACAGAGGCTAAGTTTCTCTAGTACTTAAGTGCAGTAACTTAAATGGTCATATTCAACTTATTTGTAAAAGTGAACATTTCCAAACTATAGAAACATAACAAAACTTGTAAAAATTTTGACTTGCAAATCAAAAGCTACATTATTGGTCAGGGAAACAGGCTTTAAATTTTGTCAGTGGGCTACATTATTAGGATGTTTGTCATTGTTTACATAATTAGTAATTATAGATTTGCCTTAGGGACAGATGCAAGCTGTCTTAGTCTTTTAGAACTGACCTTCCTTTCTTGGCATCACAGTTTTGGAGATTCCAGATGACCAGAGCAGTCGGCCCACAGTGTGGCGGGCTTTTCCCAGCAGCCTGTGGCGAGGAGGTACCTCCTCCCAGTCTGCAGTTGCTGGGTGGTAGCAGCAGTAGCATTGATGTAGGAGGCTTCAGGCATTTATAGACATCGCCATACAAACACACTGTAAAGGCAGACCAAACCATTGTTTTGCCTTATTGGACATCATACCTTTGTCAAGTGACAGAAACCAACACGAAGAGCTCCAAGACCAAGCTCAGGTGATGAACTGAACACGGTTCTTTTGATATCAAAAGACATGCCAGGGATCTTGCCACCTATGAAAGGTCATTGCCTTCTTTAAAAATGGCCTATTGTTTTATGTTTTGTTTGGCTCGGTTTCTTAAGTGTTTGCTGAATGTGAGGACTTTTGGCAATTTGACTTCACACTATCTCGCTTGTTACTTCTGAAAAGGTTTTATCAACTCCACTTGAGTAAGAGAGCCCTTTCTAGTGTTTAGCACTGAGCCAGGGATCACACTACACTCCCATGACTATAAAGGCCCAGGGGCCCTACATTTTAAAGGTCACATCTAAGCCTATTAGAGTAATCAAAAGCCACCCTGTATCTGCAGCACTGAGATGACCAATCACTCAGGTCCTTTTTGTTAGCTTGTTCACAGTGGGGCTGGTGCTGCTTTGAATGGGCCTTTCCACTCTGCCAGGGCTGTTCTTAGAACTCTCCAGAGCTTTAAGTGCAGCAGCGGTTAGCATAGTAGTGTGCCTTAGGAAGGACATAGAAAGCATCATTTGGGGCCGTTTTCTACCCAATATTTTTGTGTAGAAAGTGGGTTAAAGTTTCCTATGTGTGCCTTTAACACAAATTCACTCAGGCCACTAAAATGTATGGAATTTGTGTACTTTTTTCCTTTATCCTCCCCAGGAGTTTTACTTAGGCTGAAGAGAATCAAATGCTCACATTGAATTAAAGCTCTTCAACTCAGCCAATATACTGGATAACTTTAGGATGACCTCAACCTTTTCCTCCACACACCAAATAAAAAATGGTGTTTGGGGGGGAAAGGCAGAACAAAGCTGCCATGTAAATAACTGACAAAGCTGGTATCTGGAGTGTGCTGGTAGGAGTTCCTCCCAAACACCACCACTAAATTCCTCATGAGGAACAATGTGGGCCCACTTCACACTAAGCAGCAGTGAAATCAGGTCTCTTGGTTCAGGGTCTGAAGACCTGGCTGAGGCTCTCCCATTACCAATTGGTACTGGGCACCCAGTAACCATCTCTTATCCCAGCTCATGTGTAAAATTAGGCTATCACTTGCCTTCGGAGTACTTTCAAATTCAATATTCCTGATATTTTTAAACATCTTGGGTGTGGACTAATCCAACATAAGAACTGTGATCCAGTGGCATTTCTTAAAATCCCTATGGATCAAGGTCATTGTAACCTCCCTGAGAGTATGTGATGATGTTGAGCTCTGCTGAAATCTATCTCTGCACACAGCAATGCTCAGTTGACTGGAATTTCACCAGTTGCTGAAAAATGACTCGCAGGGATGCTCAACCCTCTGAAAATTTAGATTGGTATTTATCTGATCAGGTTGGGGGTTGTTAAAAATTAAACTTATTTGTGGAAAGTCCTTATCTCCATTGGAATGCCTGAATCTTTTGTTTACTATCCCATATCAGCCCCACCCCCTGCCCATGATGAAGGGGAGGAGGCCTGGGGGTCACTTGAATACATACCTGCAGTCATCACCTCCAGTGCTGACCACATACTTGTCATCATGCGAGAAACGAATGTTCGTCACGTGAGCCGAGTGACCAAAGTAACGCTTATGTTTGGCCTGTGAGCAAAGAGGAATAGAGACAGCTAAGGGACTCTTGGTTCTCCCACCAGCCACAGTCTAGTAGGACTCAAATCCCTTCTTCCTAGGACCAATCTTCATTTGTGGGATTCCTATTTGGTCTGTCAGCCAGCCTGGTGCTCTCCTTTTTGTCTCATTCTGGCCTCATATGTGGCCACTTGTGTCCTCCCTCCAATTTCCCATTGCCTGCTTGCAGGACTTCAGGAAAAGATTAGGTTTCCTCTTGCTCTGGATTCTAGCTGTTTGTCTAATGTGGCCACTGTCTCCCATAGACACACTTGCATGATATACAAAGGTTACTCAAATGAAGACTCACAAATTTTTCAGTGCATGGAAAGTCAAAGAGCTTCACCAGCCCGAAGTCATCTCCTGTGACAATGTTCAAGCCAGCATGGGTCACACAGGCACAGTTGACATCAGCTTTGTCTGCATTTCGAGGCCAGATGCCAATGACTTCATCTCCCAGAATACTGTTGCAACAAGAAGAGGTGTTCAACATGAGAAGACTTCCTACACCGTCATCCTCTTCCAAGGATGGGGGATATTTTGCACGATTCAGTGTGGTTATGTGGCTCTTTTGGCATGAAAGCATCTGACCCTACCACCTCATTTGGGCACTTGTCCTGCCCAGCTCTTATAATTCTTTGCCCCTGTCCCAAACACCCTCTAAAGAATCAGTCCATTTCTGATTCTTCCTTTTCCCTCCAGTCCTGAGTACACACATGCTTGGAGCTTAAACGGGATGTTCGAGCTCACAGACCCCCTGAGTTGGCAAGCCTCTGCTCTGCTGACCTGGGAGGGCTAGAGCCCTCCCAGCCTCTCTTCAGTCTACCTGGGCTTGGCCGATGTTGATAGTTATCCTTTAAACTTGGCAAAGGGTTGGGGTTTGAAGGATGTATTTGACCAAAAGAGGGGCTTTGCATTTCAAATGTCCTGGCTGAATTAAAGTCAACGACCCATATTGGTACCAAGAAACTTATGTCCTGAAACACTTTCCCCTGCCCAAAGAAAACCTATTTAGTTCCTGATTACACCTGGGACATAAGGCCCCTGTGATATGTTTTCAACAAGATTTTTCAAGTTACCTTGTCCAGGAGGCCCAGGTGATCTTCTCAATGACCATGGCTTCAGTCACTTGTTTTCCCAGGGGGACCTCATGCACTTGGCGCTTGTAGGCTCCTGTTGACACCTGCCAGTGGGGGAAATCCACGTCCACCAACTCTCCAGTCCAAAGGGCCCCCATTTTACTGAGCTGTTTCCCAGAACACTAGGGCAGTCTGTGCACCCCCCCAGACTTCACCCCAAGTGTGGCTCTACCCACAAAGCCTGTGGCATATGCCTTTCGTTTGCTCACTCTTTCTGAAGCCCTCAGACAGTGGTCTGCAAGCTTCCTGAACAGCAGAGTGAGCAGCACAGAAACTGGTGGCAAGTATGGGGGTGGGGTGTGGGGACAGAGCTGCGAACCTGAATCCACCCTCAGTCAGTAGAACATGGAAGTTGCACCCTGGGGTCTGACAGTCTGGAGATTCTGATGTGGACTTGTCTGAGAATTCCTGTTCTCAAGGTCCCAAACTTCACCTGGTCCTTGCAGATAGCAGCTAACAAAAAAATGTTTTGAAGCTTCTAGGTCATTTCCCAAAGTGGATTTTCCTGCCCTCCCCAGCCCACCATGTGCTGAAATGATTTAGTGTAACTGAAGAGATCTTTCTGTTCCCTTAAAGAAGATGGATTTCCAAGGGTGAAAAGCAATGGATCTTTTTTTTTTCCTTTTTTTTTTTTATTTTTGTAAAGGGGGAAGTGGGCCACATTTGGGAACCTCTGGCCTTTGTTTCTCTGGGGGTGGATAAATGGACCACTTCCCACAGGATGGTTGCTACCAACACTTTCAGCTCCTTCTCACCCTGTGGTGCTGGCTCAGGTTTTCCTGATGTTCATGAAATGAGCTCAGCTCTTTCCCACCTCAGGGAGTCTCACAGATGGCCTGAAACGCGGTTGCCTCCCCTCTTTGTTGGCCGACTCCTACACATCCCACAGACCTCGGCTTAAATATCACTTGCATGGAGAGGTGGTGAGTCTAAATTCAGCGCCTGTTAAACGCACCCACAGCATCCTGTACTTTTCCTTCTCAGCACAATTTGTAATTAAATGTATATTTTTGTGATGATGTGTTTCGTGCTGTTTTTTTCCATTAAAATGGCATGCTCCAGGGGAGCAGGGAACAGGCCTAATTTGTTCATCTAAAAGTCCAGCAAGATGTCTGGTTCAGTAAATCTAGGACAAATGAATGAATGTGTCCACTCCCCTTTAACAGTGAATACCCAATTCCAAGCCAGCTCATAAATGCATAATGCTCCAAAGACATCACTGTTGTGTTTTCAGCAATAATTTCAGAGGGTGAGATTCCTCCCCCTTCCAGCTCTTAGCACTTGGTAGTTCTGCCCAGGCCCAGTGACTAAAGTCCAGTTCATACATGTGGAGGCACAATTCCCCATAGAATTTGGAACCAAAAAGAACTAACCAGCAATACAAGCTTAGGTGCATCCCTAGAGAACTAACTAGAAATTAGAACACTTTAAAATAGATGGTGAGAGAAGGATTAAAGATGTTTAAAGCTTGTGTTCCTAAAAGAAACTACTTTAAGACTACTTTCTAAGTCTTCAAGTAACAGTATTTAGAGGAATTCTTGCCATAAGTAAATTAGCACATTATCTGGCACATAGTAAGCAATCAATATGAGTGATTGTTAATATCACCATCATTTTGGTTTCCCTGGATATCAATAAGCCCAAAGCCTACCTGGATGTATCTGCCATCTGCAGAAAAATCCATCTGAATGACGAAGCTTGGGATATCTTTGCAGTACCCAATGCGATTCAGGCTGGTGCCCTGAGTGAGGTCATAGAAATCCACGGTGTGTTCAGAAGAGCCAACAGCTAAGAATCTGCTGTCTGGGCTGATTCTAGAAAAGCAATTCAAAGGATGGTCTGTGAAGAAGGTGGTTTGAATATGGTCAGGCATGAGGTCTGTTCTGGGATGGGCCTCCTACGCTCAAAGAGTCTCATTCTAGACTAAAATGTGATTAGAGTTTGCTTCATTCTATGGGATTTTGTGGGGGATAAAATCCCATAGGGGGATGTTTTATAAATGTCGAATATTTTTCTAGAATGGCTTTTACAAGTTTTAACCACAATGGGAATTCACAAAGACGTGTCTGTGAATTAATGTGTGCAAACGTCAATTTTCTTAGTTCACTGAAAGGGGCCCTCTCAAATGAGTTCTTCAATCCAGTCTTCAACCCTGCCCTCTAGAATGGGAACCCCTGGAAAGGAAGAACATACCCATTCCCACCCCATCTACTCACTATGTACCTGATATCTTGGATGGCAGATTTCCGATCTCGTTTTTTCCCCCAAACTTTGAGGCTGTTCACCATCAAGATGACAAACTCCCCATTCTTCATGCCAATGGCCACCATCTCCCCATCAGGGCTGTAGGCTGCACACCTTGCTGCGTGGCCCAGGTTTACCTTGTTCAGCAGCTTCTACACAGATACAAAGTAGTATCGCATTAACCTCCAGCTCCTTGGCAGGTTTTCAGGGGAAATTCTGAACTCAAGCCAGAGCACCCAGGCTATCCCTGCTACTACTCTAAGTTTCCAGAGTTCTTGTTTCTTGCACTGATTGGCCCTGCATGGCAGAGGTAGGCAGCATGTAGTTCAGTTTAGGAGAAAACTTGTTTTAGGGCAAGGGTTGGGGGACCTTTTCTGCAAATGGTTTGGAAAGAAATATTTTCGGACTTGTAATTTATATGATCTCAGTCCCAACCCTCAGCCATGAGTAGCCATAGATACAAACTATATAAGGGAGTGGTCAAAGCTTAATCTGCAAAAACAGGCAGCAAGCCAAGCTTGCTCCTGCAGATCTAGACTGATGACCCCTTGTCCAGAGAGAAGAATTTGAGCTCTGGCCTTTTCTCAAATCTCAATTATTGGCTGTCATTCCATGGGTGTGTGTGGATAAACTAATCTTTCCGTTTCTAAAGAAGCAACATTAATATTGGTCTTATAAAGCCGTTGTAAGAATTAATAATATTTATGAAGTTACTGTTAATAATAAACACTACAATTATGAAGACTAAATAGAGTATAATAATCTCACTCAGGCATCTGTTCTTTAATTCTTAAGACTAAAAATGCCCAAAACATTTACTAGTAACTTTGAAGTAAAATATTTTGATTATCAGAGCTTAAGTACTTGTTTTAACGTTAGATAATATTTGGAAACATTAATCTTTATTTTTCCACAAAACTTCTAGCTATTTTATATTTTTACTTCAGAGGAATTTTTATTTTTCACAATGCCAGGGATTGAACTCAAGGTCTCAAATAGTACATTCTGCCACTGAACTACATCCCTGGCCCCAGATTAATAAAAAAAATATATTAAAAAATTTTTAAACTCCAGAAGAAATTTTACTGGAATTTTGATGGAAATGTTTCACATTTTGGAGCATTTGACATTATAAAGTCTTTTTAGTCTTCCCACTCAGAGAAAATGATTGTCTCTTTTTGCCTAAAGTTTTTGTGAGTTCATTCAAGAAAAGGGAAAAGTCATTCCAAATTATATTATTCTTGTACTACAAAAATTTATAGATAATTGTACAGCTGAAAGATCCAAAGACTGGGTTCATTTAATGATGTTTCTTTTAATTAAGCTTTCTAGCTGAATTGCTGATCTGTGGCTCATCTCTAGACCCATCCTCCAATTTGGCCCACTTGCAGGCACAGCCCAGGCAGAAATGCCCTCACCTTGTCAGCCAGGTCCCAGATCCGGGCAGTGCCATCATTGCTGGCAGAGATGAAGATGTCCTTAGAGGGGTGGGTGGCCAGGCCCCAGATCTCCCCTTCCATGTGGCCATCAATCAGGATGTTGGAAGCGGCATTTTTTTCACCAACTTCAATGATTTCTCCATCTTTGGTTCCCACTAAAATTTTCCCCTGTTTTAATCAAAACACTGTTAGCAAAAAAGGACAAATACTTTACGATCCCACTTCTATGAAGTCCTGAAGTATGTAGTCACATTCAGAGCTAAAGAATGGAGGTTTCCAAGGGTTAGTGGGAAGGGGAAAGAAGCATTACTAATTAATGGGTAAAGACTCATGTTATCTATATTTGTCATGATTTAAAAACTTTTAAAAAATTTTGTCATAACAACTTGGGAAATTTCTTCACTGGCAATGGTATTGAAACAGAAGAAGCCTAGAAATGTTCTACCAACTAAATTGTCCATGCTAAAGCTACTTCCTTTTGACCTTTTCTCTCAATATCCTTGGATGAAAGCTTTAGCACAGAGAGTTCTCTATCATTCTAGACCTTGCTAGAACATTCCGGTGATTGCAAGCTTACTGATTTCTGCTCTTCAGCAACTCAAACTCATCCTAATTCTTCTTACACCAAATGAAAATCCTCTTCCTGTCCTACTTCTGCCTCTTTCTCCCACTTATCTAATCACCTTCACAGATGACTGTCATTTCTCCAACAGTAAAATTTAGAAATGAAATTCTTAATTTAAATTACATGGCTGCATGACAACTCCTCCAAATTTAAGTATTTACAGCTCAGTATAAGCACAGCAAATTAGATAGAAAGTTGCCTAGAAGCCCACCAAGCTCAATGAGCAAAATCAGTAACAGGCTCAACCAGCACCAATCAACCCAATAAATCCTCAATGACTTTAGTAACACCATTGTGAAATATAACAGTCAATTATCATAAACTGACTCTTACTAATCTATTTTCTGATAATTCTATTTGCCATTTTGTTGGAGCAAGCAATATGAAGTAAAATTTTCATGTGCCTGCCAAGGAGGCAGGCTTAGGAGTTGGGAGAGAAATCAAGGACACTGGTGGAAGATCACAACTGTGGGATGAATGTGGGAACATTATATTCCTGAAACAAATGCATGATGAACAACTTTTGTATGTCATGGTGATATAATTTTTAAAATGAAAATAAATTATGGGAACTCCAAGTCAGGTTTGACTTTTGGGAGGAGGAAACAGCTTCCCAAGCAATTCTCAGGGAGTCCTGGGGCCTCTTGTGGTTATACTCATTTGGCCCAATGACTGAATGTTTGGGCCCAAGGATGTGGTGCAGCTCGAACTCTGTAGTTTCAGGGACCATCAAGGCCACCTCAATAGTGTTTGGTGGGCCTCCAGTGCTCTGGGGGGCCATGTGGTTCTAAGGATTGAACCAAGATCGGGCACATGCTTTGCATGGACCCCTCTCCCCTGTAATATCTCCTTAGCTCAGGGTTTGCCATTTTGTACGGAAGGCATACAAAAAGTAAGTTCTTAGACCAATAACAAAGTAAGACAGTCGACTACTAAAGGGATCTGATTTCAAAATTAGAAAAAAGAAATCACATATTTAGCCCCACCTGAGATTCTGATTTGGCAGGCCTAGGTAGGAACCTGGACAGCTTTTTAAAACATAACCGGTTTTGGTATTTAGCCAAACTATCGCTTGAAAATCAATGGCTCTGATTCTCTAGTACTTTCACCATCATTGACTGGATAGCCTTAGTCATGGCATAGTAGTTTATAACTTGGTACTGATAACAATATGATCCATAATAACAGTGGTGAGCATCTGCTGACTGTGCCTTCTAATGAAAGGTCTTGTGCATGGCTAATGCAGGCACTTTCACAACTGTACAGCAGCTGTTTGATGCACACACAAACAGCACACTTAGGAGCCCACAGTCAGTTCAACTTGGGGTCCACCGTTTTCAACCAGGTCTGCCTCTGCTGTTTCCCTACTACCATGTAAGTCATGCCACAGGGGTTTGGTTTAAGGTTCCAGCAAACCAGCAGTGGTGAAATACTTATGTGGGAAGGGACTTCACTCTCTTCCTGGCCCAGTCCTACTTTCCACCCCAGATGGGCAGAGCGACCTCACTCACTTTGCCCCGGCATACAGAGCGTACACACTCCACCAGCTGCCCGGTTTCCAGCTGGAAGGCCCGGCAGCGCTTCATCTCCTGGTCCCACAGTTTGACAGCACCACCTTCTTTGGTCCTGAAAAGAGATTGAGAGATGATCAGCCAATTAGTCCTCCTCCTAAGCACCCCTGGCCCTCCAACTGCCTCTCCTCCCTGAGGTCTCACAAAGGTCACAGTCATATCTTAAGGGGATCAGGGAGACCTTTCCCTGCAGAGTGCTCCTGCCCCCCTTCTTATGGCCCACTGATGGGTGATCGTCATCTTTTGAATTTGAGCTCTTAAAACCCCTTCAAATGCTAACATCTTGGAGGGATAGGAGTGGTAAGCTAAACCACAGCAGTTTTCACTGGATCAGCTCTGAAGAGAATTGCTTCTGGGGCCCACCTGCTTGTTTGTCATATCTTTTCTCCTCTCTCCTAAATAACTACTGGGAGTAACACTTTGTGAACTGAAGTCACAGAAGGAAAACTATCAGCACATCATGGCTCGCCTCTCTCACTCCTGAAAGTGTTGGCGAGAGCCCTCCTAGAGGAAGGCAGCCTGAACTCTCTCGGGCAGGAAAGACAGGAGCCTAGGCATCTGCATTTTCTGTGAAATCTGTGCAGTTTCTCTCAAGACTATGAGAAAAGAACAGTTGTTCCAGGGGGTAGCTTTAGCTTACGGCCGCTCTTTTCCACCCGTCACTATAAGTCCATCCCGAAGGGTTGTGTACATGGTGAAGACAGGCCCCGTGTGAGCCTTGGCCACCAGCCTGATGAGGAAGTGGTCCTTCCACACGTAGACATCTCCATTGATGGCACCCGTGAAAGTGAGGTTGTTCTGTAAACAGAAGGAAAGCTTCCATGCCGGGACCCTCACAGCAGGTATCACGAGGGTCCCCTCCCAGTCCCTCATTCCTCCATTAAGAAACCAGAGCTAGAGAAATATAGACACAGATTCAAATTGACTTCTGGGCTAAGGAAAGGCAAAAGGATTTGCAGAACACCACCAAAAGTGCACTAACATGGGGCTGGAGCGATAGCACAGCGGGTAGGGCATTTGCCTTACACGTGGCCAAACGGCGTTTGATTCCCAGCATCCCATATGGTCCCCCAAGCACTGCCAGGAGTAATTCCTGAGTGCATGAGCCAGAAGCAACCCCTGTGCATTGCTGGGTGTGACCCAAACAGCAAAAAAAAAAAAAGTGCACTAACAGAAGCCACTGGGCTCTGAAACATTGGTTTGGGGCTTCTGACTTCCCTGACATCAGATTTCAGTGAACTTCAGGATTGTGGCCAAGCCCAGGTGACAATGAGAAAAGTGCCGGACTTTAGCCCATGGAGAAACTTTCCTGGGCTCACCTACAAGGCTGAAAAATCTATATTTAGGACCAGAGTGGGCTGGATTCCAAAATGTTCCCATGGGAGCTTCCATTATTTGCCTAGTCTACTTTTTTTTATTTGCCTAGTCTACTTAGAGTACTAGTTGAGAGGGTGTGTGGGAAGGAAGGAGATCTTAAACAGTCACAAAAATTATCCCCAACAGCCTCTCTGGCCACGTAACTTGTGTCATATGAGTTGCCTGTGAGATACCCCCTGAATATTGAACTTCTTCCTAAATGGAGGAGTTATATTTTGTAATTATTTTGAAGAGAAATAGCGTCAACTCACCCAAGTGTGCTAGGGAAAGGGAACAATGGTTGCAAATAACCTAGTAAAAGAAATACTGCAGAAAGGATTTTTCTTGTTTGCAGTATCTTGACCAAATTTCTCCCTACACAATCCCTCTCCTGCCTCCTGCCCATGCCCAGGGGTTCAGAATCTCCTCTCAGGAAGCTTCTGCTGGAACTCACAGCACCAAAGGCTACAGAGAGCATCGTCTGCATCTTGGCAGCCTCCATGGACCCGATGACGCCTTTCTTGTAAAGCAGCGCACTGCCTGCCAGGGTCCAGAACTTCATGTGCTTGACTCCCACTGACACGAACTGTGTGTCTGAGTCAGGACGGAATTCCACCACAAATATGCGCTCCAGGTGACCTCCTCGGCTGGCAATCTTGGCACCTGTGTGGGTGAGTGGGTGGTTGAGGGAAGGTTCCTCCTCTGCTCCTGGGGCCCAGCAGCTCTCGTGAGTGGGGAGTGCACCCCAGTGAGGCCCAGGCACACTTCAGTGGTGGGCTTCCTCACTAGCACCCACCCTCCCCGTTAGACTTCCCTCCCAGTGCAGAGAATACATGGGGTAGAAGGGTGCCAAAAAGATAATACAATGGGTGGGGCATTTGCCTTGCTGGGTTTGATCCCTAGCATCCCATATGGTCCCCAAAGTACCACCAGGAATAATTCCTGATTGCAGAGCCAGGAGTAGCCTCTGTGCATTTCTGGGTGTGACCCCCGCCAAAAAAAAAAAAGAGACATGGGGTCTAGGAAATATCTGATGTTAACAGCCCACACCCAACAACACTACACTTCCACAGTGATACCTAGGCAACTGTGAACACAGCAGGAAACCACTTGGGTAGGAGAAAAGACGTTTCTAGGCAAAATGATTTAGGGTAATCCTCCATCTCGACTTCAGCTCCCCAGAGGACTCATCTCTCAGAAAAGTCCAATACCCCCTAAGGGTATCGCTAGAGACCCAAATTCCTTTACATAGCTCTGGCTTCTTTTCAGGAAAGTTCTCTGTATTCCTTTATTCCTTTAATGTGCTTCAGGTTTAAATTTCTCTGAATTGGGGCCACACCTTTGTAGTACTTTGGGGACTTTATGTGGACCTGAGGATCGACCCAGGCTTCTCTCTAACCCCGAGGTTCAATTTTTTTTTACCTTTTATAGGGATAGTTTCTCAATCTTAATTATTTATGTTTTTGACTACTGAGTTTGTTCGGCTTTGCTCCCTAATTTATTTAATGTTATCGTCTTTATTTAATCCTAGTATCACCATGTGGAGCAACTTTGGACAGGTTTTAACCTCTTTGTACCTCAACTGTAAACTGAGGATAATAATAGTTTCCCATTTTACAGAGTGTTGTGAAGATGAAAAAAAATGGATGTAAGTGAGGTCCTTAGTGAGTGATGCAGGAAGAGGTCTGTGAGTACTTAGGATTAATTATCATCATGCTTCCAGCTCCTTTAAAGTCTCTCGGCTTCTAATCTTTCAGCTTGTGTTTTAAACCTCCTCTATTTTTATCTCATTTTGTTTCAGCCCTTGAATATCTAATTTCTAAACTTTAAATATCTTTTCATTTTAACTTTTAATGTTTTCATTCCTTTTTTAAAAATGATCTCTCATCCCTGTATTATCTGTTCATACATTTTTCTATCTTCCCTTCTTTATCACTACATTTATTTCTTTGATCTCATAATGGCTTGAGTGGAGCAGTGATGGGTTCTAAGCATGGGTGGGTCTGCAGCCAGCCCTCCCCCCCCCACCTCTTCCCGACATCGGCTGGGAGATGGCAACTCTCTGCAGATGGAACACTGGACATTCTGCAACAGATGCCTCACTACCTAGGCCTCAGATGTCTCCGAGCTCATCGAGAATATCAAGTTCAAAGACGGAAGACTGGGTGAAAAAAACATTTCCAATGCTTATAAGAGACCAAAACAATGAACTTCAGCAATAAATAAAGAACAAAAAATCATAAATGAAAGAAAAATAGATCTGATGGAAAAAAGGATTTGAACTTATAAGTTACAGAAGCAGCAATACATATTTTTTCTAAGTGACTGTTTCTCCTTTGTATAAATCTCACTGGCACTTCTAATTGTGGATGATCCTCTCCTCTCCCTTTCTGCTCTGGCTGGTAGCTTGTTCAGAGCAAACATCACAAAAGTATCAGGGATCTCAGGACATGTTCTTGATACAGTAAGTTCATTTAAAAAATAAATCTAATTGCTTATTATTTACCCTCTCCCCCCCATACACACACATTCACCATGCATGTGTTCAAGAATTCCCTAAAATAATCTTTTAACAAATGAGGAATAATGTGTTCTCTAATAATGAACAAAATGTGTATTAAACACCTATTATTTTCTGTAAAATAATATCATTAACTGGAAGGGAAGGAAAATACCCTATACAATCCTTTCAGAGTAGTGGCAGTTGATATCATCACTGACTCAGAACCCACTGCACAGAGACAGGTGCGAGCTCCAACAAAGGCAATGAGACAAAGTTACCGTCCAAAGGCTTCACTCTTGGGAGCCTTCATAAATGTCCTGGCTCAACTCATTTCTCCCTTGGGACACGGGAAGGAGCCCACTGGAGAAAGAACCTGTGGTAGGGCAGGACCAGCGCAGGTATGGCCAAGGGACAGAAGGAGAAAGGGATGAAAAGAGCTTGAACTGAAAAGCAAGAATATTTATAGAGGCTGATCTGACTTCCATCCAAGAAAGCAGGAGCTCATCATGATCTTGGCTACAGTGGAGGGTGGAGTTAGCATCAAACAGGGCTATGAAGCAGGGGGCAGGAGCAGGCTGCCTTGTAAACTGATGAGGGGCCACAGTCTTGAAAGTATAAAAGTAGAAGATTGAAAGCAACCTGTCAGGAATGTATTGGGAGGAATTTTCCCAGAGGATGGATGCTGACTGTAGAAAGACTTCTCTAGTCCTTCCAACCCTAAATACTGGGCAGCATTTGAAGATGCTCCATTTCTCATCAGGGATTGATTACATTTAATAAGGTAGTCATGTGGATCACAAGAAATGTACCTACCTCCAAGTTATAGATTTTGGGGTTGCTTACATGCACTGTACTGAAAAATGTGAAAACAGGGAAATACATGGCATCTGATGTGCATGTGGCATTACATATGTCTGCAGGTCCTCAACCACTTTTTCTCATGTGATAGTTTGGAAGTGACTGCATCCTCCTTCCCACTGAGCTCATCTCCCTGTAGTTCCTGCTCACTGGCCCTTCCTGGAAAGGTGCTGGGACTGGAAGTGCTGGAAGCTTAGACTAGATGTCTGACATCTCTGCCTGTTCCAGTCTCACAATGCCCCTTATACAGGCCCCCCTCCTCAAGAAAAACCTCATTCACGTCCCAGTTGGAACTTCAATTGCTCTTGCTAACCTGAAAATATACTCAAAGAGTACACATCTTTGAATTGAAGATGACCATAAATTTTGTATTTGGTAACAGCCAGTGTACGTGTGTGTGTGTGTGTGTGTGTGTGTGTGTGTGTGTAAGAAGTCCTGCACATTACATGTAAATCTTGTTTGTAAGAAAAATCCCCTTTAAAAAAATTTAAAGCATAAAAACAAATTTAAAAAATCCTGTGTCTTTGAGACTATGGTAGTAAAATCCACCGTAGTTGTAATAATATAATCAGGTGACAATGCCTCAGTGGGATCCGGGGAGCAACCAGGAGAAAGTTAAGGACCAGGAACAGTTGGGGTGAAAAGAAACAGGGGCAGCCCATCTCTGTGCAAGGAGAATGGTATCACAGGAACTCTTTCTTCATGTGCCCAGCCAGGATCCCCTGGCCAGCCCTCTTGTGCCACAGGGCCCCTGAAAAGCAGCTCCTCTAGGACCGTGAAGCCCTGGTTTCTACTGACTGGACAGCATGGCCTCAAGCCACCTGTAGAGTGAGCTGGACTACGGCTCAAGCGAGCCTCAGGGAGGGTCAGAGGGTGAGATTCCTTTACCTTCTTGCCAACGCCAAACGGTGATGGTGTGCTCAGGGTCCACTCCAACAGACACCAGGAGCTTCCCGGTTGCACTGAAGTTGATGTAATTTACTCCCTTTGAGTGGAAGCACCTCAGCATGGAGAGGGTGTGCTTGGTCATGGCATCCCAGATGTGGATGGATGGTGTGGTCCCTGGGTATCGGAGGCAAGACAGAGAACTAAGACGAAAGAACAGCGGAACCAAGGCAACGCGTATTTCTACCTCGCCTTTAAAACAAGCAATTAGGAACAGGATAATTACTGGGTATAAAAGACCTGACCTTTTAGAGGTGGAGATAAGGGGAAGCATCTGCTGTTCTTTTAGAGGCAGAGACTGAGGGGCACTAATGCCCAGCACACACACTTGTGAGGAGTTCATACAAAGGAAACTGGTGAGGTCAATGATTCGTATCTGCAACTCAGATACAATCAGCAAACATGATACATGGACATGATTTTGCTGTGTAAGTTCAAACTACTCACGGATGGAACAGCCTTACCTGGGGTCTCCGTAATGTCACCTGCATTGGGTGGGCAATGGCAATGAGGAAGCGTCAAGGGAAAACAATAGCTAAAGTAAGTCATGTTTCTAATAGTGAAGCACTCAACAGCAGCATCAGAAAGTTTCAAATTAAATTTAAAAATGGACATGAGTTCAATGAAAACAAGCAGGAAGGTGTGTTTGTAAGAACCTCCTCCGCAATGACAAAGTTTAAAACAACAAACAACTTTCCACAAATGTGAATGGATTCACATTTGCCACTGGCAGTTTCCGGGGACACAGCGGGACAGGCATGCACGCTGCAATCTACCCTTGCCAAGTACAGACATCTGGGTTTGGAATGGGGGCTCTACAGCTAATACCTCAAGTCTGAAAGTAACGTTATTATTACAAGGACACAGGGATGCAGTCCTTTGTTCATTCAGATTCTCAGGCTCTGGCCTGAGTTAATGGTCCCTCAGCACCACCAGTCTCTGGATGGACCAACTCAGGTGACACAGTTATATTCACTGTAGCACTGTCCTCCCATTGTTCATTGATTTGCTTGAGCGGTCCAGTAACGTCTCCATTGTGAGACTTGTTACTGTGTTTGGCAGTTATATTCAGGGCTCAAAAAATAAATAATAACAGCAACAAAAAGGGGAATATGTTGGAAAACCCCATCCCCACTTTGAATCACTGCTAATAAGTCCTTGTTCCACTCAGATGGGCAAAGCTCCATCCCATAGGATTCCCCCTACCTATCTGGCTGGTGGCCACAATGTTCCTGTACTTGGGGTGCTGATTCACCGTGAGGCAGAGAATGTCATCCGTGTGCTCCAGGTAGAAGCTCTGGCTCCCTAGGAGAGAGACATGGCAAGGTGAGCAGCTAGAGACACTTGTAGCTATTCCCAAAACTTCATGTGGAGTCTTTGGCATTGTCTTGTAATAGTGAGTGATTAAAGCCCCTCAGTTCTCATTTTTAGAATCATCCCTGAGTAAAGGTGGAAGAATGTTTTTCAAATTTACATATTCAGTTTCAGGTCTGGGAGCGAGGCGTGTTTATTGTCTAATATACACAAGCTCCAATTGTGAGTTCTTGGTGTGGTAGGGGTCCAGAGAACAGTCTAGAGGCAGATGCTCTCAGAGTTCAAAATCATCACAGTTTTTTCCCACACCCAGGACTGTTGCCCACCTTAGGGCTGGACAGAGCCTAGAGATTGTATCATTCCACTGAACACCACTGACTTATTCATTGGGAAGGAAAGTCAGTGACAGAGGAAAATACTTAGAGTTTCTCTTGTCATCTTTGTTTATTAAAATGATAATCTGCTTGGGTATTTGCATGGAACAGGTAATGGCAACACCCTAAAACCCCAAATCAATATATGTCACAGCAGTGAAAAAAGGGACATGAAATGCCAATCACTTATGAGGGCAAATGGATTTTATGACAATGGTCAAAGTGACTGTTGTCAACCCAATCCCCCATCCCAAGTGCTCGAGTACATAGAGGTGAACAATGACCATGGCACTGAGAGATGAGGAAATTACACACTGCTAATTTAATATTTTGGTGGGGGAGAGGAATTTTTTTTTTTTTGCTTTTCGGGTCACACATGGCAATGCACAGGGGTTACTCCTGGCTCTGCACTCAGGAATTACCCCTGATGGTGCTCGGGGGACCATATGAGATGCTGGGAATCAAACCCGGGTTGGCCGCGTGCAAGGCAAACACCCTATCCACTGTGTTATTGCTCCAGCCCCAAGGAATTATTATTAAAAGAAAGAAAATAAGATATAAATGTTAACAGATTTTCTGATTATAAAGATGTGGATATTTAGAAATTTCATTTCTGAGTGATCTTTTTTTCCTTGAAATGTTCCTTTTAAAATATTTTTAAATTTGGGGGGACACCCCAAGAGGGACCAGTCACGCTTGGTGGTGCTCAGGGCTTACTCTTGACTCTGTGCTTTGGGATCATGGCTGGTGGTGCTCAGGGGACCAGAAATAGTGTCAGGAACTAAATCAGCGCCAGTAGTGTGCAAGGCAAGCACCTCAATCCCTGAATTATCTCTCTAGCCCACGATTTTAAATTTTAAAGATCATCTAGCTATGGAACATTCCTGGTATTTTTATTTTTTGATTGTCCTCATTATTTTTCTCTTTTATTATTATTCTTTTCATTCTTTTTCTAAATATAGCTAAATAATCCAACAAAATGTGAAAATCTGAACTGCTAGAAGCTCAATAACCATTAAAAATTAGTGATAAGGGATCAAGTGGATAGAGCATATGCCTTGCATGTGTGAAACCCTGGGTTCAATTCCTGGCATCACATGCACCACCACCCTAATAATGCTGGGAGGTGGTCACCATGACAACAGTAAAAAATAAAATCCAAATAATCTATTTTAAAAAATCAATGAGATCACTTCCCTCATGCTTTGTTCTTGATTACCACCTGGAAGGAATTTCTCTACATTCCACACTCCCTTTCTGGCTTCTCTCCAAACCTCTCAGCTTCCCAGGAGAGGAGAGAACATAGGCCTCTCTTCGAGGGCCTACCAAAGATATTAAAGAGGGCTTTGATTCTGAATGTGGGCCTAAGCATTTGTAGGATTAAATAATACCAGTCTGGAATTGCTCTAAAAGGAAGAAAAGTGCTTAAGCTTTTGGGCCTCTGAAAAAATACATGAAAGTGTGAAATGAGAAGCCTGTTTTCAGAAGGTATTTTTGTTTCCTATGGAGAGATTTTTTTATGGAGAGGTTTCCTGTGGAGAGATTACCTGTGGAGAATTTACCTGTGGAGAGGTTCTGAACCACACCAGCTGCTGCAGTGTGGAAGATGATGTCGGCACCATCATTCAGGTAGTGCAGGTTATTTCGACAGTCAAATCCTCTATAGCCAAATACGTGGTCAAGAGCCAGCTCCTACAGTCCCAAAAGGAAGAGCAGAGGAACAACCCCATACTATGAAAAGCCATGTTTCATGAGACAAACCACCACTCACTAAAAGCATTTTGCTCCTGACTAGCTGAGAAGAGAATGAAAGCCTTTCCGAAGCATTCAGAAAAAAGGCATGGGGGCTGGAGAGATAGCACAGTGGGTAGGGTGTTAGCCTTGCCTGCGGCCGACCCAGGTTTGATTCCCAGCATCCCATATGATTCCCTAAGCACTGCCAGGAGTAACTCCTGAGTGCAGAGCCAGGAATAACCCCTGTGCATTGCCAGGCGTGACCCAAAAAGCAAAAAAAAAAAAAAAAAAAAAAAAAAAAAAAAGGCATGGAATCTAAGAAAGCTTCCTAAAATTAAGTGGATTTACTCCCAGTTCTTCAGGTGACCCAGAGTCCACCATGTTGACTGTCTCTAATGGTCACCAAGAGGTTCTCTGCTCCCGTTATGGATTCTTGGGGAACTAAGCCGGGGTTTAGATTTGCTCTGATCAGTTCCCACACGCACAGTTGCCCTATTTTACTGTTTTTTCTCTATATATCACAAATGAATGAAATAATACAACATTTATCCTTTACTTTCTGACTTATTTTTATTTACATGACACCCTTCAGTTCCATCCACATTGCAGGAAACCGCAAGATTTAATTTTTTCCCTTTATACGTTCATTGGAGTGATAGCACAGTGGGTAGGGTGTTTGCCTTGCATGCGGCTGACCTGGGTTTGATTCCTCTGTCCCTCTTGGAGAGCCCAGCAAGCTACCGAGAGTATCCTGCCTGCACGGCAAAGCCTGGCAAGCTACCTATGACATATTTGATATGCCAAAAATCGAATCGAATTTGTAACAACAAGTCTCACAATGGAGACATTTTACTGGTGCCTGCTCAAGCAAATAGATGAACAAAGGGAGGACAGTGCTACAGTGCTATAAGTTCATAGTATTCCATTGTGCACATACACTAAAACTTCTTTATCCATTCATATGTCACTGGACATTTCAGTCATTTCCATTTTTTTAACAACCAACTATTTTTATATGTTTACAGTCTTTCTCTTCTACCTGTTTTGTCCACTATGTCAGGAAGCAGTGGCTGATTCAGATCATTTGTAATTCAGACACACACACACCCACACAGACACACACACACACACCTGATCTTTTCGTCCAGGCACTGGCTGATACAATGTTTTCTAAATGTGTGTATGAGAACCAGAGCAATAATACAGTGGATAGGGCACTTGTCTTGCATGTGGCCACAGAATCTCACATGGTCCCCCAAGCCTGCCAGGAGTGATCCCTAAGTACAGAGCCAGGAGTAAGCCCTGAGCACTGCCAAGTGTGCCTCCCCCCCCCCCCCCCAAATGTGCGTACCTTTTATCATCCCTGTTTCTAGCTTTTCTGTTTACAAATTTCACCATCTGCAAACATTGGATTAATTCACTAAACTTCTAAATAATGCATACTTATTTAAAAATACTGCCTTACTTCCACTGCCTATAAATTGGTGCTATCTATACAACTTGTTCACAAACTGACTTGTCCAGAAAGTGTTTCTTCTCCTTTCACATTAGCGTCATGTCCACCTTTCAGTTATTTCCCACCTTCCTGTGTGCTTCCCAGAAACCAGGTATATCATATGTGACCCCTGAGTCCTAGTGGGCAGCTGACTCAGGCGGGGAGTCAGATGTTTTCTTCCAGAAATTTAGAACTGGAGACACTGACAGACAAGGCTGTTTAAATGAAGAGATGTAAACTCAGGTGCAGAATAGAACCCATAGTCTACGAAAGTCATTCCTGAAGTCTACAGAAAAATAAAAGAATGACTCACACATACATATGAGAGCCAGCTAGGCAGGAAAAGTCATCCAGTTGGCTTATGATGGTTTCTCAGCTTCTGGATTCTGCCTTTCCTGAAGCTGTGCATTCTCCCTGTGTGGTATGCTCCAGGATACAGTTTCCAGATAAAATCCCTCATTCCAATAAAAAAAATTGAAGATATATTTTTCTGACCCAAATGAATTCCTGGTCTAGCTAATGTTTCCAAAATTAGATGGCACTATCCCCTCACCCACCCTGGGTGGTGGCCTCATGTACAAGTAGGGGGTACCTTGTTCACTTAAACAAGATAGATTTCAGGAGGCACAATGAGTCATTTTTTCTGAAAGTGGAGCAGTAGGTCAAATAAGCTATAAATTTGAGAATGTCTGGTCTAGTTGGAGAAACAAGTAAGAAGTCAGGGCAGAAGAGTATGTGATATGGCAAGGGCTATGGGAAAGGGTATGTGCACAGAGAAATTTTTAAATGATGTGTATGAAGAAAGATATTGCCAGGGATGAGCATGGAAAACCTAGAATGGGAGGGAACAGGGGCAGAAATAGTAGAAGGTACAAAAACACAGGAGCATAAAAGTCCAAGACAGCATCACAGACTGTTCAGTTGTTAGAGACCTGAGTTGTTGTGAAGAGTCACTGCTGAGGGCAGCTACCATCTCAGGTTTTGAAACCATAAATCGGTACCCCACTGGCAGTTAGTAAATGCCCTGGTCTTAATGTTAGGGCGCGGCATGCATTCTGAGAGAATCACCTTCATGCATTAGGAGACACTCTGAAAAGAGCAGGGTTCTTGAAATGGCCATCCTCAAGTATTAATAACTGAGTTCAAACTCTACTGACTGGCTGACTGGTCTCAGGCATGGAATCTGACAATTCACTGAACTTCTCAGAGCAAGTGTGCAGACAGTAAAGATCTCTCTCTCTCTCTCTCTCTCACACACACACACACACACACACACACACACACACACACACACACTCTCTCTCTCTCTCTCCTTTCTCTCCTCCCTCCCCCCTCCCGCATATACTCTCTCCCTCTCTCATTTCTTATCTGTGAAAGGGATACTGAGGGTAGGGCCTGAGTGACAACAGATCTAGGGAGAAGGAGTCTGGTTTGAAGAACATCAGGGAATTTTCCACTTATTACTGCTGAGATCTCAATAACAAAGCTGGGAAAATGTGACTGAGTAGATGTGATTCTGGTCACTGGGGTGGGGGTGAGAGCCCACAACGCTACACCACGATCATTGAAAGGATCTTGTGTGACTGACTTACCAAAGGTAACATCTCACCGGTCCATCTTAAGACAGCCATGATAAAATAAGAGCAAAGCAGTCAAAACTCCTTACCTCAACCAGCTTCTTTTTCTTGGTAATATTATTCTTCTGGAGTTTCTCAGGCTGTGGAGCTGCTCTGCTGACAGGCGGTCTGGAAAACAGAAGAGTCAGAGCAAGTGTAATGTTGGACAGGGGCGTCAGAGCTGCTCCTTTGGTATCGTGTGTTGAGGTCAGTGTGGGTACCCCACTCACAGGGCCCTTCACTGGGTTTCTCATGCCTTGTCACCCCCTACCCATTCCCACCCTGCACACTATCTCAAGTGACAGGACAGGTCCCTCATGAATGGGGCCTTGGCTGTAGGGCTGCTCCACAGCCAAGGCACTGGGGTCATGATGTGTGGAGCCAGGAGAGCCAGAGGGGCCGACTTTAAAACTAAAGAGGAGCCCGATTAGGAGAAGGAAGAGGCTACATTCCTGAGCCCACTGGGCACTGTTCAGACAGGAACCTGCCAACTAGTTCAGAATTAAGTGGTCTAATACCACATTGCTGTGTGAAGTGAGACTTGGGAAAGTGCCCTAAGACCATGCATGTGCAAAGTGACCAGGTTACTGTCACTATACCAAAGGCCCAGTAGGAAGCTAAGGGAGAAAACTGAAAGAATCCCCACTTCATTCTGATTTTCAGAGCTCCCTGAATCTACACTCCACTGCTACCATCACACCAAGGATGGTTTTTCCTGTCTTGGCTTCAGAGATGTGGCATCCAAATTTCATGAAGAGACTTTCTAGGGGGTCCTCCTCATGGACTGTGATGTGAGTATCCTAGCACTTAGAGATGGATTTGGGCTTCCCTTCATTTGGACTTCCTAGAGTTTAGGAAATGGGTTGGGCAGGGAGCCTGCAGGAGCTCCCATTGCATGTTCCATATCCACTAGTGATTGCTCTCGGGCTAAGCAAAGAGAAAGGATTACCTTGATCCCCTTGTAAGCAGCAAACAAAGCCAAGTGAGAAACTTAGTATAATTTAGAGCTGCATTAGTAACCACCTCATTCATGCACAAGCATTTTCCAAGTGAACAGACATTCCTGTGTGGCACAATTCATGCTTCCCAAAGCATGCCAGCAAAGAACTAAAACAGAAATGAAAGAGTGCACCAGTTGACAAATCCAGAAAGCTCATACCCTGGCGTCTCTGGGCAAACTCTGCACTAAATCGCCTACAGAATGGGGAGAAAAAGGAAGCCTTGTCGATGCTTCCCGCACACTCTCTGTGACTTTGCGAAGGTGCCTGGGGATGCTGCAGATTTCCGAGTGTGCTGGGGAGAAACGTCAGAAAAACAATAACATCCTCCTGGATGCTTTTGGGAATTGTGTATAATGGATGCTTTGTTTGCCAGTCAAGTTCGACTCATAATTTAGGCAACTAATTCCCAGTGTTTCTTGGTAGGGCAGCTTGCCTGCTGGAACGACTTGCATTTTTTTTTTTTTTTGTGCTGGGGAAAAACAAGGTACCTTTATTTTCACAGAAACGCTTCAATCAAAACATGTTATGTAATCATAAGTGATAATTGGACCAAATGGCATTGTAATCAGCACCCAAGAATGGGCAGGGAACACGGTTCTGCCAAAAAGATGACACCCCCGGCTGACATCATTACCGCCAAATTGAGCAAATTTGGGAGGCCAGGGACATGCCAGTTCTCACAATTAGATGCTTCCTTCACGTTAATTATCACTTCCCAGGACATCTGCTCTTTCTTCTGTTTTAGTGGGACTTCCAAATGAAATCCGTTGGTTTCTTCTTCCACCTAAGGGTGTTCCAGTGTATGACAAAAGCAAGCTAATGTCTGAGAAGGGAGCAAGAGGCCACTGGGACGAGAGCATGGTTTAGAGGCAAAGTTAGAGATTAAACATGGGGCTCGTATTCCGGGCACACACACGTTGTATAATATGCTACATATTATACAGTGTATATAGAGTATGCATACAAGCACAAACACCGTGTATTTATATATACGAGACTGTATATATATACACGTAGAGGCAATTCAATGCTTTCTTCACCTTGATTTTTCAGTTAGAAATGGAAAAGTAAAGCAATCTCAGAATGTTTCTTTCTTATTTCACAAGCATATGTTTACAGCTGTATTGCTTCAGAACTGAAGTTGAGGGGGCAAAAGGAAGAAACCTGCATTGTGGCAAATTCAGCGGATCATGAGTATAGACCCTTCATGGCCGCGGATTCTGCATGAACGATTAGTACTGAATGCTCATCCAACACCTGGGCTTTTGCAGGGTGCTGGAAATACTTACTTGACAATTCCCTGCCTCCAAAGGAAAGCAAGTTAAAACATAATACAAGTATTAAAGGCTTCTATAAACAGTGGTGGTAATATAAGACACGGGAGGGAACGCCCAAAATTTCAAACAGCCAAATGCTTTAGCATTTTTCAGTAAATCTAAATCCTCCCGGATTCAGATTACAACAGAAATGTGACTATGAAAAGCTCTGCTGAGGTGGAAAAGAGTGCATGAGAACATTCACTCACTTTTCAGTCCAATAAACACAAGCTAGTTGCTCCGCCTTGGGACCAGACTGGCAGAGGAAGGAAGGTGGGAGCACAGCTGGGAACCATCAGGGAGAGGCAGAAAGGGTCAGAACTGGGCTAGGGTGGGGGTGGGAGTGGAGGTGGGAGCAGAAGAGACACAAAGGGACCCAAAGGGGGTGGGGACAAGAGAGCCTTTGAAGTCACTCAGGAAAACACAGGAGAAAAGACTTCCAGTGGGCAAGAGATTTAAGAGAGAGCCTTGGCACAAGAGCAAACAAACTGGGTAATCAGGAAAGAGGAAGGTGGATGGGCTTGAGCTGGGAAAGACTAGGCAAGAAGCTCTCTCGCTCTGTGTGTGTGTGTGTGTGTGTGTGTGTGTGTGTGTGTGTGTGTTTTGGGGGGAAGGGCATAAAGCCAAGGAGAGACCCATGAACTCAGGCATATAGCCTGGTGTTCAGGAACAAGGCAGTCCTATTCTTGCCCAGTGCTAGGGGGGCATGCCACAGGAAGTCCACCTCCATCCAGAGGAACGAGAACTGCCATGTACTCCGAGTCTCCCGTGGAAACAGCACGTTCAATGGAAAGGTAAGGGCCACGGGAAGATGAACCCCACCGTAGTCCTGTTGCCCAGCACCTGAGATGTTTGAAAGTTTAGACTCACCTGAAGATGTGAGAAGAGTTGCCCCAATACAGGCTCCCATCCCACAAAGACCCCTAAGAGTGGCTGGAGCCAGGCAGTCACCTTGTTTCGCCCCTTCCCCAGGCACTGAGCTAGTAGTAAGAGGGATGCAACATGACCTGAGAGGCCTCCGAGAGGGTTTCCAGTCAAGGCTCTTAGGGAACATTGGAAATAACCAATGTGGATTATTAAAGTCAGGTACAATTCAAGAGGAGGAGGAGGTGAGCCCAACTGGAGAGCAAGACTTGGACAGTTGGCAAGATACAAAGTGATTCCAAGCTGCTCTATAAAGAGGGGCATGAGTCTAGATAAACTGAGCTTACGTTTGGCCAAAACATACAAGTTTTGAATTGTTAAGAATTATTAGTCAGACAAAGTTCAAAGTGGCTTGGGAGGAATGTAGGTTTTTTTCAGATTCCAAAGTGTGCTATAAAGGAGATTTCCAAATATCTTGGAAACTCACATACCCTTGATCCTGATTTTGGGTAGGGAACCATGAGATTATCTGAGCATGACTATTATGGTCTGCCTATGAGTTCTAGCACCCAAGAAATGTTCTTTAGGGACCCAGAAAACCTCGACACCCAGGTAAAATTGTGATGGTATGTGTGCATTTCTTCTGGAGAAAGGAGGCATGCTTAATCAAATTTTGAAAGATGGGGGCTGGAGCAATAGCACAGAAGGTAGGGCATTTGCCTTGCACGTGGCCAACCCAGGTTCGATTCCCAGCATCCCATATAGTACCCTGAGCACCACCAGGGCTAATTTCTGAGCGCAGAGCCAGGAGTAACCTCTGTGCACTGCTGGTTGTGACCCAAAAAGCAAAAAAACAAACAAACAAAAAAACAAATTTTGAAAGATGACTCTGATGTCATAGAAAGCTGGAGAGTGAGAGAGTGTCATTGCGCTCCAAGTTTATAAAGTTTCCAAAGCCCTGTGGCACTCTACTGTCAAAATAAAGAAAATTGGATTTTGTACAGTATCACGGTCACGGTCCTCCCGTTGTTCATCGATTTGCTCAAGTGGGCCCAGTAACGTCTCCATCATGAGACTTGTTGTTACTGTGTTTGGCATATCGAATACATCATGGGTAGCTTGCCAGGCTCTGCCATGCGGGCGAGATACTCTCGGTAGCTTGTCAGGCTCTCTGAGAGGGGCGGAGGAATCGAACTCGGGTCGGCCATGTTGGCTGCATGCAAGGCAAACGCCCTACCGTTGTGCTATCGCTCCAGCCCTACTATTGCTCTTATTCTATGTTTTTCAAAACCATCTTCAGAATTTTTTAGGGATGAAGAGTTGAAGGAAGTCCAGGAGTTCAATAGGATGCCTCAAAAGAAACCTACCATCCTCAAACTGCTCTTGACTAAATGTCTATTAAATAAAAGAACTCATAGAAAAAAAAAGTAATAAGGGTATGGTGCCACCAACAGGTCAACCTGTACCTGCAAGGCGAGTGCATCAGCAGCCTGATGGTGCCTTCAGGCTTCCTGATACACCAAAACTGCTGCTGTACCTTTGGCCGGACCCCAACAACTTAAGACCAAGTTTACCAAGAAATTAAATGGCCAAAAGTTTGGTATGTGGAAGCCACGCTCACAAACCACCTCCAGCTCAGCTATCAAGCTCACTTATTGGCCTTATTTCAGAGACCCATAGATAAACCTCGAAAGAGACTAAAAGCCACAGTTAATCTCAGACCCGTGCATGGCTGAACAGACTGGGGTAAATAGAAGAGGGGAAGGTTGGCCTGTGCCTGTCCAGGCAGAGCCCCTAGCAGCCGCTTGCTTTCACAATTCCAAATCGCTGCCATACTCACCCCAGCCTGATTCCACCATCTCAGGATGGACCTCACCAAGATATAATCTGCTGAAAATTCGGTTATGCGGGTTTTGTGACTGAAATCTCCAGGTTTTCACAGAGTTGG